GCATTGTTAGGGCGCAGGTCGTGATCTCCCTTTAACGACAAAGAGACTCCAGAGACTGCAAACAGCAAGCAAGGTTTATTGTAAGACTGGCTAGCCAGGGTCAAGCCGCCTACACAGACAGGCAGGTCAGTTAGGTGAGGCAAGACCCCGAACCTCTTCAAAGGGGATCTTATACAGGCCTTCACTGGCCGTTACAGCAAAGCCCGCGCATTTCATAGCCAATAGATTTGTAACAACATATGCTTTCCTAACCAATCCAATTAAGGGTACATCACTTCTTAGCCTATAGTTTAAAGATCAGCATTTTGCGTCGGTGCTTAGGAACTGACAGGTTTTTAAGGCAGTCCTGGGTCTTGCAACATGGGTCTTATGAGAGACATCCGGTTATCTGGTCTGACCCCCACCCTTCAGTACCTGTATCTGAATTCCTTGCTCAGGGGTAGAAAAACCAGTTATTTTGCAGTGCAGGCTCCTATAAAGCGGATCTGAAAAAGCTTATCTAGACCTGTTCCTTGAAAAACAAGTTATTTTGCAATGCAGGTTCCTATTAAGCTAAGCTAAATTAATTCTGGTGGTAGTCCATTTTGGGCCTGTTCCTTACAGCATTAGACATGAAAACACGAAAGTACACATCTCAAGAGGGGAGATGTGGGCGACCCATGTGCTCAGGCAGCATATGCGTGCGCTTCCTTTGTTTAAGGTGGCCTTTATAGGGTTTCTTCAACCTGCCCCCATGTGGGGCTTCTACCTAGGTAAAAGTCTGTTGCTAGGGAGGTTACCAAGGGGGTTGATAGTGGTGATGGTCTTCTTTGAAATTCCTTTCCTGACTTTTGTTTCTGCAGGAGTTTCTGTTGGAGGGGGTTGGTCAGGTGTCAAAGGAACAGCTTTGCAGTTTCTTTGAATCTCTCTCTGGTCCTTAATTGGTCTCTTTTTCTTCTTTTGTCATCCCTGTAGACAGTCAGCCTCTGCAGGGTCTGTCACAGACTGGTGGACTGTTGCTAGTTAGTTCTCCATGAGGTCAGGCTATTGCTTCCCAGGAGATTTACTGCCATTGCCTTGGGAAGGGGTCTACCCTATCTGCCTACCTACATCAACTTGATGTTGACCTCACCAGAAACGCCCCTTAACTGTCAGTGATTTTTTTTAACCATTAGCCTATTACTAGTCAGACAGTTTTTGACTGAAGTTAGAAACCATGTGTGAATAGGAATATTGGCTTTGCTAGCTGGATTACACAAAAAGACTTTTCCTGAGATTGAACTATTCATATTGTCAATTTCAAGTGTTGGAGGAAAAACATGTGAAACACACCATAATATGAAAGTTGTTTGTTCATTTTGTTTAGGGGCCACTGGAAATGCACAGGGATCACTCGTGGCAATGCTCAGGGGACCACGTAGTCTCAGGGATGGAACAGGAATAGCATATGCAAAGCAAGAGCCTAAACCCCTGTAATATCCCTCTAGTCTCTAAGCAGTTTTACTCAAGAGCCTCTACTCAAGAGACTGAAAAAAAATCACAGATAAAGAAGGCAGATGTCAAATGGCTGAATGACTTGGAATGATATTGTCTTGCAGGAGGTCTGCTAGAAATAGTGTCTGGGGTTCATCTTTATGAAAGGGTGGGTAAAAAGCTGGATGGAGAGAGAGGAATCAGAAGCAGAAAGGGCTCATCCTTATTGATCCATTGGGCCTTTATTGCTCAGATTGTTCTTTTGAAATTTTCCACATAGGACAATAGGCCAAGACTTCCAACTGTTGTGGGGGGATGAGGGGGTAGAGAAGAGGGCTCTGGTAATGTATGTTGGGAAAAAGTGTCTGAAATCTAAACCAGTCCCAAATCAATGAAGACTTTTAACACAAAGGACCCATCTCAGGAACCCAGAAAGCCATTAAGACGCAGAATTCCCAGCATCTGAAGATAATGCAAAGGATCCCAGAGAAAAGAGGTAGCTGGACCCCAGAGGAGAGGCTCCACCTTTGGTATAAAGGTCAGGAGAAGAATATCAGAAGACCACCAACTGCTCCCAGCTCTCCCCCTTGGTAACCACCCTAGCAACAGACTGAGGGGGCGGGGCTGCAGTTTGGGAAAACTATATAAATGAGCTTGACAGAGGGAGACGCACACACTTGCTGCCCTCTTCTTCCTTCTTAATAAGAGGTGAACTTCATACTTTGGCCCATTTCCCTGTACTGGGGAAGGAATCCCTATATTTGTGCTTGGGATGTGTATTGATGCTCACAAATCTGGAGAAGCCTGTGGTCTCTCTTGAGCATGAATTATTGTCCTCTCTCCTTCCCTCCCTTTTTAACCCCATAAGCTTGTTTTACTTCACTATTCATTACCTTCTAAAATTCTTTTCTGTGAGGCAAAGGCAATGTACCCCCAAACCCGGAGTCAGATTAGGACTGATTTCCTTTCCCGCAAAGAGCAATTTCTGGCTCCAGAATGAGTCCACAGTCCCCCAAGAAATCGGGTGTCAGGGATCATCTACCAGGATGGCCAGAACAAGTGAACTCCAGGTGCAGTTTGACAGGTGTCTTGTGAAGCTGGTGGGCCATGAGTGTCCATGTGATGCATGGGCTCATCACAGACTTTCCTGAGTCCTGATTTCCCCAGGTTTCCCCTGTAATGAGGTAAGTAGAGAGGCGAGAGACAGATTTCCTTCTAGGAGACTGATGCCTCTCTCTCCACCTCACGGAAGCCATCTAGGGAACCTACTTACTCTTCCACTCTTCCACTGGTGGGGGTTGAGTCTACCACTGTCAACAGAATCTTTGCAGGGATCTGGCTTATGAGGCCAGCTGTGTGGGGCAGAAGCATGGCACAGGCCAAATGTATTGATGAATGGGGAACAGCTGCCCACCAGCTCTCTCTCTAACAGATAGGGTAGTTGGCCCTTCTTTCCAGAAGGGTCTGGCAGGGTGTCAGACTGCTGCTTACACAAATTACCTCTGAGTCAGAAGATTCCCAGTTTTTTTTTGCAACTAACAAAATTAAAAAGATATGAATTAGAACCATTGTAAGAGTCCATTAAAATTCACTTTGATAATTGACAGGTAATAGTTTTTGCATAGTAATTAGGAATGAGTTTAGATTGGTGAGTGACATTGTACTACAAAATTCATGTTTATGAGACCAAAGAATGTCTCCCTGAGGCTCATAAAAGAGTGAAAATCAGAACAAAACTGAAGAGAATCCTGTTGCATTCTAGAAGAAAATAACATTGATGATGGCCAAGCCGGGTTCGATTCCTCCGCCCCTCTCGGAGAGCCTGGCAAGCTACTGAGAGTATCTTGTTCTGCACGGCAAAGCCTAGCAAGCTACCCATGACGTATTCAATATGCCAAACACAGTAACAACAAGTCTCAAAAAATGGAGAAATTACTGGGCCCGCTCAAGCAAATCAATGAACAACAGGAGGACAGTGACAGTGACAGTGATGGACTTATGAACCAATATTCATGATTGTCTATGAAAATTTTAATACATTTTTATGTTGCTTTGATCCAGTTTTGCCTCTACTACTAATAATGATAGTCAATATGGAAGAGAATAACTTAACACTTGAGTTATTAAGTTTTATTAAAAGAAAATAAAACATCTTTATAATTTTGTTTTGTTTTGGGACCATAGCCACTGGTGCTCAGAAACTATTTCTGCCTCTCTGTCAGGAATAATGCTTGGAGGAGCTCAGGGGACCCGATGTGGTGCTGGGCATCCAAACCTGAGTTAGCAGGGTTCAAGTCAAGAAACTTAACCCCTGTATTACCTCTCTGGTCCCTAAAACTATTTTTACCTTTAAATTAATATTTTTGGACAGATGTATGGCAGAAAAATTAATGGGAGACAAAGAATGAGAGATTTTCAGTATAAAAATGTGTGAGTAGGGGACACATTGTATAGCAGTTAGCATGCTTGCCTTGCATATGGCCAACCCAGGATTGTTCCCTGGCATCCCATATGGTGCCCTGAGCATTGCCAGGAGTAACTGCTGAGCACAGAGCCAGGAGTAGGCACTGAATATTGCTGGTGTGGTCCCCAAAACAAAAAATAAAGAAAAATGTACGAGAAGATCAAACACAGTACATTGTTCTGATATGGGAAAAAGATTTCCCCCTTTTTGTCCTTCAAATAGAAGAGGGACCAAAAGGCAAGGGGAGGAAGAGGAGGTAAAATGATCAGGAAGAATCTTCAAGAATGGGATCAAGTCATGGTGACATTTGTTTCCATCAATATGCATAAGAAATTTTACATGGAAGTTTTACAACTCCTGAAAAAAATTCTCAGCAACATACAAAAATCCAGGTATCATAAATCTCAGTCCTAATAAGTGAGCGGGTGATGGTATCCCTTGCTTCTCCTTCCAAGGAGTTCTCCTCTAACATGCCAAGACCTGCAGTCTCATTGAAGGACAAGACTAAATTGATAAGAAGGCCACCAGGAGTCAGGGGCCACTCAGAGTCAGAGATTGTCCTTCTGGTGTCTGAAGTCCCCTCAGATACCTGGGATGAGGAAGTGAAGACACTACATCGGAAGGGGCTGCAGTTTCGCCACACACAGCTGGAAGGACTCCGGACCAGCAGGTGTGGACAAAAGTTGAAGAACTCAAAACATCGAATTGAAGGACTCAGGATATTGAGGGTTTAAAAAGGTTTTTTTCTGTTTGCTTAGTTTTTGGGCCCCGCTTGACTATGCTCAGGACTTAACTCCTATTCTACACTCAGGGATCACTCCTGGCAGGGCTCAGGGGACCATATGGGAAGATGGGGATCAAACTAGGCCTGCTGCATGCAAGGCAAGGGCCTTACCCACTGAATTATTGTTCTAGTCCTTGAGGGTTTTGTGTTTCTGAAGGATAAATGAAGATCCAGGAGCATAGAGTACTAGATCTTGATGGAGATTAGGATCAGATCAGGGCGGTGGGGTTGCCTGATCCCCAGGCCTCAGCTACTGAGCACAGTGAGGGTGAGCACCAGGCCAAATCAAGAGATTCTTACCCCACTTCCCCAGAGTCTGTGCCACTGTGCTCACTGCCAGCTGCCCTCAATGCTACCAGCTGCTGCACAGTAATAGTTGGCCTCATCCTCAGCCTGGACTCCTGTGATGGTCAGGGTGGCCAGGCTGCCAGAGTTGGAGCCAGAGAAGCGCTCAGGGATCCCTGAGGGCCGCTTGTTATCCCTGTAGATGACCAGCACTGGGGCCTTGCCTGGCTTCTGCTGGTACCAGGAAACACTTTTGCCTCCAATGTTGTCTCCCGCACAGGTCATCTTGGCCTCCCCTCCTGGGTTCACAGATAATGAGGACGGCTGATTCACCTCATAGGAGGATACAGAACCTAAAAGAGAGAAGGAAAGGTCAGGTAAGGAGGAAAGTCAGTTCTACCGAGACCCCCATCTTCATAACCTGCAGTAATTCTCTGGGATCCCCACCCTCCTCAGCCCCACCCTCTATCAGGGTGACGGACATTCTACACCAATGCCCTGCTGAGCTCAGATTCAAGATGACACCGAGCACTGGTCCTGGAGCTGCTGTGAGCCTGGACAGCTCACCTGTGCAGTGAGCCAGGAGGCCCAGGAGGAGCGGGGTCCAGACCATGGTGAGGGGCTCTGTTCCTGGCACCTGAGGCTGAACTCCACCAGGTCCCCTCTTATCCCCTCAGGGAGAGAGCTGCTGGCTATGCAAATCAGCCAGGCTCAGGACTGTTGCTTGGGGTCTGTGGCTGCAGAGAAGGACCCAGACCCAAGGGACACCACTATTTGCTGCTTAGAGGCATCTCCCTGACAATTTTTGTTTCTCTGTAGGTTATGGGAATTTTTTCTACTTAGATGGTGGTTTAGGGCATTGACACATTATATTTTCAGAATAAATAATTTGATATATCACTGTCCTCCCGTTGTTCATCGATTTGCTTGAGCGGACCCAGTAACGTCTTCATCTTGAGACTTGTTACTATCGAATACGTCACGGGTAGCTTGCCAGGCTCTGCCGTGCGGGCAAGATACTCTCAGTAGCTTGCCAGGCTCTCCGAGAGGGGCGGAGGAATCGAACTCGGGCCGGCCATGTTGGCTGCGTGCAAAGCAAATGCCCTACACGATATGGTATGAAATATTGGCTTAAATTACAAGGATTTCTCATTAAAATACTTTTTGTAGTTGCTTTCCTTCAGTTTTGGAGACCTTCATAAAATAATAAAAGTCACCTTTATTACTTGATTCAAGTAAAGGATAGAGGATCCTTCTTGTGACCAGATACCAAAGGAGATAAAAATGTTCAACAGAATAGATAGCAAATATTTACTAGACCAAAAATATTTCATATCCTGTGGCCTGCGAGATAATATAGCAGGGAGGGTGCTTCCCTGTGCCTGACCTGCCCTGGTTTGACCCTTGTCACCACATATTGTCCCCAGACCCCAACAGGAGCAATCCAAGAGTGCAAAGTCAGAATTCTTGAGTATAGCTAGGTATGGTGCGTGTATACACACACACACACACACACACACACACACACACACACACACACACACACACAGATTTCAGGTCCTAGGTGCCTTCCTTGAAAGATTCCCAGCACCATTTGTTCCTGGACCGAGCATCACTGAGGACAGCCCTAAATTCCCCACAGCATCCTCCTAGTGGCTGACTAATCTCTGACACCAATGGTTTCATCAGCATCACAGTTCCCCCCAGGGCTCCTTCAAATGCATCAGTTTTCACAGCTCCCAATGAGCCCCACCCCCGTTACCCCGCAGGCCCTGTCACTTGCCATACAACAAAGTTCAGATTCTAAAGGAGTCAGTCAAAACGTTGTGGACGGTGACCCCAATGATCAGATTTGAGTTGCGGGGGAACTTAAAGAGTCTATATATTTTTTTTCAGAAAAATTGGCATTTTCTTTAAAGAGGAATAAAGGAAAGAAAGAAATAAAGAAAGAGAGAGAAAGAAAGAGAAGGGGGCTGGAGCAATAGCACAGTGGGTAGGGGGTTTGCCTTGCACTCGGCCAACCTGGGTTCGATTCCCAGCATCCCATATGGTCCCCTGAGCACTGCCAGGGGTAATTCCTGAGTGCAGAGCCAGGAAGCCAGGAGTAACCCCTGTGCATTGCCAGGTGTGACCTAAAAAGAAAAAAAAAAAAAAGAAAGAAGAAACAAAATGCAGAGAAAGAGATAAAATATGCTCATCAGTGTCGGTTGATAGGAAAATAAATATCTTTTCTTTAAGTCTGAGGTTGGTTACTAAACACCAGCTCCCTGGACATTCCCAATCTACTGGAATTAGACCCCCTGTGGCCTGACCCTCCATTGGAACCCACGATTCTCTGCTTCCCCCTGGTGGTCATTTAGTGCAGTGCAGTGGAAGGGGCTGGGAAGTTCTAGCAGGAAGTCAGGGCAGATTGAGATCACAGGGCTCAGGGATTGAGTCACTATTTACTGGGTGCAATCAGGGAGGAGGAGGACTGAGCATTTTCTCTTTGGATCCGGGTGCTCATAGGCTCAGTTCTCAGGGAAGCTGAAAATATAAATTAGGACACTTGAATTGAATTGGCTGATTGATGAGATGACTCACTGCTCAGACCCTAGAATTAAGATTATTTCTATCGTGGTCAGGCCATTGAATTTAGACAATTAACACATTTGAAACTGGAACTAATTTTCATAAACGTGATAGGCAGGAAGGTATTCTCACATAATAGATGAACAATAGTACAAATGCAACGGTAGCAAGCTAAAGATGAAACAAATTCCTTTATAAAATGCAGTGAGATACATAGTTACAAAGCCATTTATGGTTCAGTCATACAATGTTCCAACACCCATCCTTTTCCCAGAGCACATTTCTCATCATCAATGTCCCCAGTTTCCCTCCTGAACACCTCCTCCACCTTGCCTCCAGAGCCTGCTCTATGGCAGACACATTTCCTCTTTGTCTCTGATTTTTCTTTTAGGCACTGTGGTTTGCAATACTGTTGTTAGGATCCGCAATTCCTATGAGGAGTTCAAAGATTTTATTAAAGAAGTGTGTGTGTGTGTGTGTGTGTGTGTGTGTGTGTGTGTGTGTGTATGAGAGAGAGAGAGAATTGTTACAGTCTAACCAGCCAGGGCTGCACCCCATAGAGAAATAGTGGGCTACAACCCCCTGAATGGTTTAAGTACCCTAAAACCACATTGTTCTTTCTCCCTAACTGACCTGTAAATTGATTTCTTTAGTGCCTCCTGTGGGTGCCCCTTTGTTCTGTTTCTTCCATGCCTGGCTGACCACTGGATTCCTTCTTTTTAGGGATTGGCTGACATTATCTGCAAGCATTGTGAATTTTGTTTGTTCTGTCCCCTTTCCTGTGATGTGGTCTTGGGTTCATGCTCAGTTCAGCTGTCAGTAACATAATCATACAGAGTAGCTAAACGGCTACTAACAACTAAAATGTTTGCACTTTGGTTTTACACTGTTACTGAAAGGGTTTCATGCATATCACTTTATCTCCTTTCAGCACTCAGGTTTTGTTCAGAGTGATCATTTCCAACTATAGTTATCAAAGTGGTCCCTTCTCTCTCCTAACTTTCCTCCATTTTTTTGGCCTGTTTTCTCCCCTGAGTCATTCCTCCTGGCCCGTGTTTCTGTGTCTTTGGGCATGCCACAGAGTGTTGTTGTTTTTTGTTTTTATATCCCCAAATCAGTGTGATCATTGTATGTTTGTCCCTTTCCCATTGACTCATTATCTCAGCATGATTCTATCCATGTCTATCCATGTAGAAGCAAATTTCATAACTTCATTCTTCCTAACAGCCATGTAGTATTCCATTGTGTAGATGCACCACAGTCTTTTTTAAATTATTATTTAGTTTTTTTAAATTTTAATGAATCACTGTAAGATACAGTTACAAACTTACAAGCTTTCGTGATTACATTTCAATCAAATAATGTTCGAGTACCCATCCCTCCACCCGTGCACATCTCCACCACCAATGTTCCCAGTATCCCTCCCACCACCACCCCCCTTCAACCTCCACCCCCTGCTGATATGCAGAAACATTCTCTCTTACTCTGTCTCTCCTTTTGGGTGTTAATATGATGGTTTCTTTTAAAGTTTTTTTTATTCTTTATTTTTTTATAAAGTTGTTCACAATAATTGATTACATTCAATATTCTCACACCATTACATATTTCCACTACAGTATTTCAAATTATTGCACCCCAATCCCAAAAGCAGAGCATAATAATTTCCTTTGTATTGCCTATATGAAAAATCCTCTGAAGATGATCCAAAATTGACCTTTGAGGAAAGTGTGTGAAGATTGTTTTATCACCCTGGGGTCATTAAGCCATTCTAGAGAGTATGAGATGTGCAGAATTTCTAAGATTTTTAATAGAGTGATACAGCAAGAGTTACATTTATAACTGAATGGTGATATGGTGATATTGGAGTCCAGTGGCATCTCTGGAGTGTGTTGCTCTCTTTCTCTTCAGAGGTTTATTTGTGAGGCTCTGGATTACGGCCATTAATGAGATTAAGTGGAGACAGAGGCAGTTTGTGGGTGTGACTGTCAGCTATAGATTCTGGAGTTTTTTGGTAGCAGGAGCTTCTTTGGGAGTGGTGGGTGGGACTCACCAGCCCCAGTACGGATTGCCTTGAGTGAGACAGCCTGGCACAGTGACCAGTGGCATTTGTGCTTTACAGTCATTTCTTTATGCACTTGTCTGATCTTGGGCACGGGATTATTTCCAGATTCTGGCTATTCCGGATAGTGCTGGAGTACAGATTGCTTTTCTGAACTCACCTCTCATGCCTCAGCTACCTTTGCTGTTAAGTGTGAGAATGAGAATGCTTGTTGAGCTTACGTGCAATGGTGTTTACTGAAAATTATTGCAGGTGCCTTGGGTGGATTGGGGAGGAAGGGAGTAGCCTGTAGAAAAAAGTTTTTCTGACCCTCTGTTAGATACTCCACAGCCATCCCAGGAAAAACCTAGATGGTCAGAACCCATAAAAGCTTTTCCTAGCATCTATATGCCATGGATGCTCATGCCCCACTGGCCCTACTCTACGATCATCAAGCTATGCTTGAAGTCACTCATTCTGCACAGCATGGAAGTTGGTCCCCACAATCAGAAAGCAAGAGAGAAGGAGAGGTCAGGAAAGGAGGAATCTCAGTCTGATAGATCCCAATCTTCATAACCTGTAGTAACTCTGTGGAACTCTACCCCCCGCCCCCACCCTCCATCAGGGAGATGGGAATCCTACCCCAGTGCCCGGCAGAGCTCAGTGCTGGGACCAGGATGGCCCCAGAGCACTGGGCGTGGGGCTGTTTTCAGCCTGGACACATCACCTGTACAGTGAGCCAGGAGGCCCAGGAGGAGTGGGGTCCAGGCCATGGTGAGGGTCTGGGATTCTAGTACCTGAGGCTGAACTCCACCTGGTCCCCTCTTATCCCCTCAGGGAGAGAGCTGCTGGCTATGCAAATAAACCAGGCTCAGTGCTGCTGCTTGGGGTCTGTGCCAACTTCTGCTGGTACCAATGAATAGCGTTTCTCATCTCTGGGTTGTCTCAGGAGCAGTTGATGTGAAAAATGACTGGGTAAGCTTAAAGAAGGCCAAAGAGCCTTGAGAGATAGGAGAGGAGACAGGGTTGAACAAGAAGGGCCAGGCCCAAGGAAGTCCCTCAATGAGTCTGTGTCAGTGTGGAGCTCAGGGTTTGGGGTGGGCCCGTTGAGCCGATCCTTTGAGGTGGCACCTGTGCAGAGAGCAAGGTAAGGGACCAGGGGAAGGGGCCGGGCCATGATGGATCCTTTTCAGAGCGCTGCTTGTGCTCACTGCACTCTTGAGATCTACAGCATCTTCTTCTATCTTCTCTGGACCTGTGGGATAAAGATGGTTTGCTCTTCATGGAAATTTATTGCTCCTCTGGTTAGAAGAATATCTTAGCACACCCAGAAGGCAGAGTAGGTGCCTTAAGGGAGAAAGGATTGCAATCACCAAAACTGAGCTGCTTCTCACTCAGAATAACAACCTTCTCATTGATGTGTGTGTGATCATAATCAGCTTCCAGGGCTTTCCCCCTTCATGCTAGCCTGTGCTCCGTCCAGGAAGTCCTCACCTGTGCAGTGTACCAGGTGTTTGGTGAGGCAGCTCACTGGAGTCTGTGAAACACAGACACATGAGGTACAGGAAAGGCGGCTATGAAACCAATCACCCTTCTTTGAAACTTCATTTCTGACTACCCAGAGGCTTTTTGAATCAGATCAGAGATGCCTTGAAAGGGAGATTAAAGAGAAATGGTCAAGGCATCCCTGAACATGCCTGAGAGGCAGGATCCAGCATTTCTGATCACACAAGTATGAGGCCCTTGTTTTTCACAGGTAAGTCATGAACTGTGCCCCGGCTTCTATCAGTGTCCCAGGTGATCCTGACCTCCAGAGTGAGGCCTCTGCAACCTCGGGAAATACAGTGGACCCAACCTTGGATACTTGTTGCCCCCAGAGTCTCTCCCTTTGAGTTTCCCTCTGGGAAACACCTGGTTCTGTCCTCTAAATTCCAGAATGCGAGTTAGCTTCCCGACTCTGGAAGAGTTCAGATGAGGAATTTCTCACCTGCAGGTAACTCCTAACCTAAAGAGGGTTCATAGTAAAGGCCTCACTCTTTCAAGCAGTGTCAGCTTCTCCCCCCTGACCCACCCAGATTTGTTTAGAAAAGTCCCATGTGGCATAAAGGGAGGAGGAGACAGATGTATTTCTGAAAATTATGTTCCAGCACTAACAGGCCCCTCTGTGTCAGAGTTTTGTGTGGAGAGTGAAAAGAGCCGTGTTCTCTTAAAGTGTTGAGATTCTTGGAAATCCACAATGACTTAGAAGAGTATAGAATTTCTTTGTATCTGGAAACCAAGACCAAAGCTTCCTTTACCCCAGTAATGGCAGCTGGAACCCATGATGTTTGCCACCGAAGCTCAGTGTGCACTTGGATCATTGTCAGTATCTCTGTTCCTTTGGTGAATTCATTCAGACACCTCAGAGTGTAGAGTAGGAGATTTCTTCACTCCCTCGTTTTCTCTGGTTATAGTAGGGGCTGGATAGTTTTGTGGGTAGTGTGCCTGCCATACATGTGGCCAATCCAGGCTTGATCCATAGCATCCCATATAGTCTCCTGAGCATTTCCAGGAGATATTCCTGAGCACAGAACCAGGAATAGTCAGTGAGTATTGCTGGGTGTCATCCAAAAACAAAACAAAAAAACAAAAAAAGAAAAATGTATGAGAAGATCAAATACAGTGAATTGGTCTGGTGTGGGTAAAAGAATTTCCCCATTTGGTCCTTCAAAAAGAAGAGGGACCAAAATGCGGCACAGGGGTTTGGGTTGGGGGTGGGAAGGGTAAATGATTAGGAAGAATCATTCAAGAGGGAGTATCAAGTCTTGGTGAGATTTGTTCCCAATCAATATACATAAGAGAGTGACATGGAAGTTTTACAAAGTTCTCATAATTCTCAACAACATACAAAAATTCAGGTGTCATAAATCTCCATTCTAATACATGAGTGGGTGATGGTATCCCATGTTTCTCCTTCCAAGGAGTTCCTCTCTAATGCTGAAAGACCTGCAGTCTCATCAAAGGACAAGAGGAAAGGGATAACAAAGGCTAGCATGAGTCAGGGGCCACTCAGAGTCAGAGATTGTCCTTCTGGAAATCACCCAACCCCATCAAAAAATGGGGTGAGGAAATGAACAGAAACTTTCGCAAAGAAGAAATTCGAATGGCAAAAAGGCACATGAGAAAATGCTCTACATCACTAATCATCAGAGAGATGCAGATCAAAACCACAATGAGATATCATTTCACACCACAGAGACTGGCCCACATCCACAAGAACAAAAGCAACCGGTGCTGGCGCGGATGTGGCGAGAAAGGGACCCTCCTTCACTGCTGGTGGGAATGCCGGCTGGTCCAACCCTTTTGGAAAACAGTATGGACGACTCTCAAAAAATTAGAATTTGATCTGCCATTTGACCCAGCTACAGCACTCCTGGGAATATATCCCAGAGAGGCAAAAAGGTATAGTCGAAGTGACATCTGCAATTGTTTGTTCATTGCAGCACTCTTTACAATAGCCAAAATCTGGAAAAAACCTGAGTGCCCAAGAACAGATGGCTGGTTAAAGAAACTTTGGTACATTTACACAATGGAGTACTATGTAGCTGTTAGAAAAGATGAAGTTATGAAATTTACATACAAGTGGTACTACATGGAAAGTATCATGTTAAGCGAAATGAGTCAGAAAGAGCGGGATAGACACAGAAAGATTGCATTCATCTGGGGAACATAAAGCAACAAAAAGGGAGAGTGACACACAGGAATGGCTGAGATTAGTACCAGGAATTTTGCTCCATGAATGGAAGGCCAGCCACAGACTCTAGGTGAAAAGGAAGCTCAGATAGAGAAGAGAGTACCAAATGAAGGGTGTTGTGAGGGCCCTCCCAGGGTGGGAGAAGCATGCTGAAGGTAGTCGATAGACCAAACATGATTGCCACTCAAAGCCTCTCTTGCAAAACACAGTACCCAAAAGAAGAGAGAGAGAACAGGGGGGAATACCCTGCCACAGAGGCAGGATGGGACGGGGGGGGGGGGGATGAGGGTGGGGGGGATGCTGGGACCCATGGGGATGGATGACGGGCACTGGTGGAGGGATGGGGATTTGATCATTGTATAACTGAAACCCAAGCACAAAATTTGTAAGCCTATAACTGTATCTCATGGTTTTTCACTAATAAAAAAATAAAAAATAAAAAATAAAAACAGAAAAAAAAAAAAAGATTGTCCTTCTGGTGTCTGAACTCACCTCAGACAACAGGGATGAGGAAGTAAGACACTACATCTGCAAGGGCTGCAGCTGCCCCACACGCAGCTGGAGGGACCCTGGACCAGCAGGTGTTGACCAAAGTTGAAGAACTCAAAATATTGATTTGAAGAATTCAAAACATCGAGGGTTGAAAAAGTAATTTATTTTTTTATCTCTTGGGCCACACTTGATTATGCTTAGGACTTACAGCTATTGTACACTCAGGGATCACTCATGGCGGGGCTCAGGGGACGATATGGGAATCAGGGGATCAAACTAGGCCTGCTTCATGGAAGGCCAGGGCCTTGCCCACTGAATTATTGCTTTAGTTCTCAAGGGTTTTGTGTTTCTGAAGGCTAAATGAAGATTGAGTAGCAAAGAGAATCAGTTTTTGATCGAGATAAGGATCAGAGCAGGGCGGTGGGCTTGCCTGACCCCCATGCCTCAGCAACTGATCACAGTGAGGGTGAGCACCAGGCCAGTTCAGGAGGTTCTTACCCCACTTCCCCAGTGTCTGTGCCACTGTGGACACTGCTAGCTGCCCTCCATGCTACCAGCTGCTGCACAGTAATAGTTGGCCTCATCCTCAGCTTGGACTCCGGTGATGGTCAGGGTGGCCAGGTTGCCAGAGTTGGAGCCAGAGAAGCGGTCAGGGATCCCTGAGGGCCGGTTGCTTTCATACATTACGAACACAGGGGCCTGGCCTGACTTCTGCTGGTACCAGGAAACATATTTGCTTCCAATTTTGTCTTCCGCACAGGTCATCTTGGCCTCCCCTCTCAGGCTCACAGATAACGAGGGCGGCTGATTCACCTCATAGGAAGATACAGAAACTGTAAGAGAGAAGGAGAAGTAAGGTAAGGAGAAATCCCAGTCTGCCAGATCTTAATCTTCATAACCTGTAGTAATTCTGTGGGACCTCACCCCCAACCCCCACCATCCATCAGGGTGTGGGCATCCTACCCCAGTGCCCTGCTGAGCTCAGACTCAGGGCCAAGATGGCTCCAGAGCACTGGGCCTGGGGCTGCTGTGAGCCTGGACAGTTCACCTGTGCAGTAAGCCAGGAGGCCCAGGAGGAGCGGGGTCCAGGCCATGGTGAGGGGATGGGATCCTGGCACCTGAGGCAGATCTCCTCCTGGTCCCCTCTTATCCCCTCAGGGAGAGAGCTGCTGGCTATGCAAATCAGCCAGGCTCAGGTTTACTGTTCAGGGTTTGTGGCTGGTGAAAAGGGTCCAAAACAAGGAACACAGGAAGGTGTGGGCTGGCCATTCAGTCCCTACCTAATGCTTAGTGGTGTCCCCCTGACAATTTTTGTTTCTCTGTAGGTTATGGGAATTTTGTCTACTTAACAGGTGGTTTAGGGCATCAACACAGTATGTTTTCAGAATTAGTAATTTGATATATGGTATGAAATATTGACTTAGATGACAAGGATTTCTCATTAATAGATTTTTTTATAGTTGTTTTCTTCGGTTTTGGGGACATTTATACAATAATAAAAATCACCTGTATTACTTGGTTCAAGTGAAGGATAGAGAATTCTTCTTG